ACATGATTTTTCTATGTACAATGACATTTTATTACTGTATGTCGAAAGCTAAGCAAAAAGACGTTACTTGAATCTTTGGTAGAAATGGCCATTTTAACAAAATCGGAACGTAAGTGATTTTACTCATTTGGTGTTTTCTGTCTAGGGACAAAACAGAAAAATGTTGGTCAACAAGTTGAAGTACAAGACATTTGATAAACGATTTTTTTCAGATTTATCATAAATAATCCTTTGAACAGAGCAAAGTAAAAACATTTTTCACTCGTTTCAACTGCAAACTAAGCTCAAAAGAACATTCCCTCCATAGCGTGTTTTGTTATTGCCTTGGATCAAATTTACAATGACTGTAGCATTCTTGTATGTATCCAACATCTACGTCGGAACCACCTGTGGCTCGAGTGGTGGAGCTCCATCATCCTCCACAGGCTTTACCGTTGCAGTCTCTTCCTGGCTCTTCTTTACTGTCTCTTCGAATCCAGATTTAAACCTGTCGTAGTTCGTCTTCTCAGCCGACTTAAACGGACGCTCACCCAAAACTTTAGCAAGATCATCCTGATGCAGAACCTCCTTCTCTAGCAAGAGCTCAGCGATCTGAGCCACTTGCTCTTTGTGTTCCTCTACCAGCTCAACTGTTCGCTTGTAAGCTTTGGCAACCCATTCTCGGACCTCTTCGTCTATCATTGCACCGGTTCTGTTGCTGTATGGTTTGGAGAACTCGTCTTCTCGTTGCGGGAATGACAGCAATCCTATCTTGTCGCTGAATCCGTACACAGCAACTTGGGCGTATGTCATTTTGGTCACCTTCTCCAGATCGTTCTGAGCGCCTGTCGAGATTCTTCCTATCAATACCTGCATTCAAGACCCACCAAACAAACAGGATTTACAGACTGAAAAAAACAGAAATTTTATGACCTGAAACCGTAATGAGAATTCTTGAATTCTGTAAGAGAAAACAACTATACTAAGTAAGTAGCATACATACACATTCTTTACATTTCCTGATTTATGGTTCTATATATATCCATTTTCAAGAATCATTTCTTTTAAGATGTGGTTGTGGTAAAAGTAAGATGTTAGAGAGAGCTTTGGAGGGCTAAGCTTTGAACTTTGGTTTAATGCTTTTTAAGTTCTGGGATTGTTTGGTTCGTTTGACTTTTTTGTAACTTTTTGGGATTTGTTCTTATCTGTGATCCTTCACTCTAACACTATCAGTTTCACAACCCAAAGGAGTTGAAGTTGATAGAAAGATTTACCTGTTCCGCAGCACGGCCGCCGAGAGTCATGCAAGTCATGTCGAAGAGTTGTTCTTTTGTCATGAGCAAGTTTTCATTTGGAACGTACTGGGCAAACCCAAGTGCTGCTGTGCCACGAGGAACAATAGTCACCTTTAGCAATGGTTCCGCATGTTCCAGGAACCACCCAGCAACCGCGTGGCCAGATTCATGATATGCAACTGTGCGGCGCTCCAGCTTGCTTATTACCTGTTGTCATAAAACCACCAAAACAAATTGTAGAACATTCAGGTTTCCATTTGTAATAAACTTGGTTTTAAAAGGCGCAAGGCGCACCAAGGCGCCAAGGTCCCTAGATGTCGCCTTGTGCCTAGGCGCACTAAGGCTCGGGCTTTATAGATGTGAGGCGCACAAATTGAAAATACGTCTAATAGCCTACATACTTAACATGTATGAACTAGCAAGAAAAAAACACATCATATTTTCAAGACTAAATCTTATTCTACATACTTAATTATGCTTCATTACTCTATACTTTAGAATAATTACTCAAACAAAGAAACATAAACACTGACTTAAGAATAACATAGTATAATCCAAGCCAATCCAAAACTAGAAATAGCAAAACTCATAATCTAGGTGTTTTGGTTTTAGATCAAACACAAAAGAAGATGCAGCGTGAGAAGACTTGTTTTCACGTTCTAATAATTGGAAGGGACTAGGGTTTTGACGATCACGATTCACACAGAGTCGTAATGAAAGGCAAAAAATTAAATGTGGTCTTCTATATCTCATTATAAGTTGATAAACGATGGAATTTTCCTGCTATATCTTTATTCGAATCTTTGGCTGATGATGATTTTTTTAACCAGTTTATAGATTCCTATTGAGGAGGTTCTACTAAGACCGAGAATGAGCATATCATGATAAAAAAATTCTTTGGCTATAATCCTATAAACAATTAAGCTGCATTGATAAGGCGAAAGCACATACCCGGTTTTTCTTCTCCAGACCTCCAATAACACGATCAATTGCGGAATCGAAGTGTGCCATCGTAACTGTTGCTCCTTCATGTCTGGCAGCAATAAGAGCCGCCTCGTTACAGACATTCGCAATGTCAGCTCCAGCAAATCCGGGAGTGAGGGCTGCAAGCCTTTGTGAGTAATATGAGGGCTCGTGATCAAGTTTGATCTTCTTCAAATATATCTGGAATATCTGATCACGGCCTTTAATATCAGGTTTGTCTATGGTTATTTGACGATCAAACCGGCCAGGTCGTAACAAAGCTTTATCGAGAATATCCGGCCTGTTAGTTCCAGCAAGCACCACAACTCCAGCTGTAGTACCAAAACCATCCATTTCCACTAGCAGCTGATTAAGAGTGCTTTCACGCTCATCATTTCCACCAGAGAAACCTCCACGTCCTCTAGCACGGCCAATCGCATCGATCTCATCAATAAATATTATGCTAGGTGCACATTGTCTAGCTTCCTGAAACAAGTTTCTCACTCTGGAAGGTCCAACACCAACAAACATCTCCATGAAATCTGAACCAGATATCGACAAAAACGGCACAGCTGATTCCCCTGCAGTAGCTTTTGCTAGAAGGGTCTTTCCAGTCCCTGGTGGACCAACTAAAAGCGCACCTTTTGGGATTTTAGCTCCCAAATCTTCATATTTCTTTGGGTTCTGAAGGAAATGCACAAATTCCATAATTTCTTGTTTAGCCTCCTCGCATCCCGCAACATCTTTAAAATATACCTGGCGAAAAATAAAAAACAAAAAGATTAACTGTAAATCCCGATAACATCATAAAAGGGAAATAAGGGTGCAAGTTCTAATTCACCACTCCAATTGAAATGCTAACCTTATTCTTGGAATTTTTATCTGCTCTCGTTATTTGAGCTTTCCCAATATTGAAAATTCCACGGCCACCCTTCCCACCAGGCCCTCCAACACCTCCCAATCCACCTTGCATCCGTCTTGCCCCATAAATTAGTGTACCCAAGAGAAGTAAAGTTGGTGCAAACCTCAGCAGTTCCTGGTACCAGATCATTTCAGAGACATAGGTGACAGGAACAAAGTCATGAGAATCAACGCCTAAAGCTTCTTGGGCCTCTTCGAGTTTCTCCTCAAATGATTCAACACTACCAATATTAAAGTAGTACTTATACTGACCACCAGGTGCTTTAGCATTAGCAGGAACTCCATTACCAGGACCTTGAACAACTTGTTCAGTTGTTTGGTCTTTTGGTGAGCTCCTCACATAGACTTTCGCGACTGATTTATTAGAAACGTCTATGTGATCCACTAGACCAGGCTCGAGGAGCTTGTTTTTGAACTCCTGGAAACTAATCTGAACCAATAGACAACACGGAAAGTTAGTTTTCCATATCTCACGCCCACGTCTGCAGTTCCATATAACATGATATAGATCATCAGGTTTAAGATAACAAATTTTTAGTTAAGCATGCATGCCTGTTGCTGATCTCGGGAACCAAACGAGAAAGAAGAAAGGATTAAACCAATGGCCATCAGAGGAATTAACATATTCTGGAACTCCTTCGTGAACATGTCCCCGACATTCTCATTCTCATTTTTCTTTGAACCTTCTGCATTGTAACAAATACAAATCCAGTTACTACAATCTTCAAACAAACTTTCAAAATCCTTTCAGAAGGAAGAGATGCCAAGAGAAGAAAATTCAAAGAAAGATTGAAACTACTGATTACCGAATCTATGAAAGCTAGCAAATTTGAATGCTCAGAAGCCAAAACTAAGATAAGTTATTAAAAAAAGCGTAAAGACGAGCATATTTCCTAACATTTTCACTTAATAAAGCTGATAATTTCCTAGCTAACCATCAAATAGAACAGACGATAAACGATTCCTCAAAACTCCCCAAGTATCTGTTGGTTTACTCAGTTTCTTATGTGTAGCACTACTTGGACTCAGCATCCAAAAGAGAGGGAATGTTACCTCCGGATTCAGATTTCTGCTCATTCTTGGGTGCTTGCTTAGTATCTTTTGGATAGTAGTTCTCGTAATCTGCACAGAAGCCATTGATGAGAATCCACAAACAAATGGGCACAAATTATCTCTCAAATGTATATTTCTGACTCCTTAACCAAACCAAGATATGAACAACTAATTTTGATTCCGTATAGGGTTTTGATGCATACTCTTCTTTTTTGGGGTTTCGCTAGAGAAGAGCCGACGCAATCTAGGGTTAGCGAAAACGCGGCTAAAATCACCGGAATCTAGTCCCTTCCGAGCAGCTAAAGAAGCAAAGTTCCGCCTCAGAAACCCTAATCCACCATCAGCCGCCTCAAGAGCCGGCGGCGCCCGAAGCCTCCCTTCACTTGAAATCGCCGATCTCACACCACCACCGTACACCAATCCCTAATTTCACCAAGATTATTGAAAAATTAGGAAATAAACAACACAAAAAACTAACAAGCATCTGGAAAAATCCATTCAAAAACCAAACGAACCTTAGAACGAGAGGATCGAGCGAGGGAGGAACCAAGCTTGGAGAATATCATTGTGAAATAATCAGGAGGAACAAAAGTGAGCTCGCATAATATATAGAAACCCGAAATCGGAGATCTAATCAAAAAACCCAAAACGAGAAAGATGGCAACTTTCGTTTCGGATTGGTTTCAATGGAATGATACAGGAAACAAGTTTTTTTACGAAAGTGAAGATGTGGGCGATTGAGAAATCAATAACCCAGAACGAAATTTGGGATTTTTATGTGTTTGTTGAGAGAGTAATTGCTCCTGTGTGACTTTGAGCAGCTTGGGAAACAAGACACCCAACGCGTTTAACACTCCAACATTCGTTTGTTCCGTGGACAGTTTCAACCGGTTTAATCTCCTGGTTTGCGTTATAAACCAACCGGTTATTAATTTCTCGATTTCTCTGTCGAATAATCGAATTTGTGCATGAACCATTTCATGTTTTAAAGTTTGGTCCCGATAAAATGAAGGATCGAATCGCATAATATAGTTTTTGGGCCGCAAAAATGGTATAAATGGGCTTTGGCTCCAATAAAGCCACATGTTTTTATAACTCAGGTCAAGTCAAGTGTGTGTGTGGCAACATTTCTACCTGAAGTCACCTACGGATTTGGCACGTAGCATTACGTTCTTCCACGTGTCAGCTTCAACACCGCAAGTACTTAGCAACTTCCAGAACAAGCTACGTCACTTCCAAAACTAGAGTACTAAAGAAGCAATTAAAAGTCTCTTAATAGAGAGTTAAGAGAACGAGTCCGAG